CAATAAACTGGCTTATCTCATTTTGTGGCCCCCACCTAGGAACTGACTTAGCACAAGATGACAGCCATCATTGTAAAATGGTGGCGACTAAAAGTATTGCCTTGTGTTTGAGGTCATGTTCCCAAGGACATGAAACAAGACTGAGACTTGTAGCCAAGTTTGTTACTGACCATTTTGTTGGGCTAGTGTGAATGGCAGGCCAGTGGGGTCCTGGGTCCTACCTCAGGCATCCTAGCCTGAGGTACCCTTTCTTTTGATAGATCCATACAGAAAGACATGTAAAGCACACCAGATTGGCTACAGTTTAAGACTAACCTCACAAATCCTTTTTAATTAATTAAAATGTACAGAGAATATAAACAGTGATCCTTATTATTTCTTTTACTGATTTGCACAGGGAGAGAGAAGCCAAAAACCTGATTGGTTAAAAAAAAAAATGTTTTACCCTTTTGCCAGCATGTCAGGCTTCTGGATTTTTTTCCCTCTAGCTCAACTCTAAACCATAAATTTTAAAGTTTGGGGAAATTAACTTTTCCAGTTTGGACGAACATTATAAAAGAATCATTTTAAACCATGAAAGAAGGAAAAACACCATAGAAAAGTCAGGGGGCTTCAATTAGGGTTGTCAGGAGGTCTTGCTTCCCTTCCTATTGGGAATGGTGTTTCCCCTATTTCTTCACCGTCCCTATTTTCTCTTCCCTTCTGGCCTATTATAGGAGAAATATTGCTCATCTCCGAAATTCTCTGTTGTCTGCAGAACTGCCTGTTTCTCAGCTGTAGTTAGGGTTTGACTTAGAAGCAGCATAACATCCCTTCATGAGAGGTCAAACACCTGAGTTAAATTTCGGAAAGGCTTCTGTATATTTATCAGGGTCATTAGAAAATCAGCCAAAGTCTCTGTTTATTTGCCTAAGGTCCTGTAATGAGGAAGCCCTAAATGAGGGGAGTCCTCAGATTGTTCCCCTGGAGGTTGTTTCTCTAACTTCAGAGAATCATTCTCCCTAGGCTTGCCTGATATGACTACTGAAAGGGCTGGGTTGATTTTGTGGTGCCTGCAAAGGTCTAGTAAGAAGCTATACCCTTGTGCAAAAGAAAGTTAGCTGCTTTTTCTTTAAATGTTTAGGATTAAAGGAGTCCCTGTGTTTCAGAACACACTCCAGAGTAGTACAAGCTGAAGAAGATCTGTTACCCATCTAGAAATGGATGCGAGTAAAAGGTGTCCTTTAGTCTCTTTCCTTTTGGTGTGATCCATGTGGAGAGGAAGCCAGTGAAGGCATCCCTTCTGCTATTTTTTTTTTTTCCCCTGTAGTTCCTGGGTCCCAGCACCTTACTGCATGTGCTGCCCGTGGTTGCAGGTGTGACCCCCAGCCATGGAACCAGAGGAGCTAAGTGATTGGGATTCGTCATGCTCACCCATGTGACTCTTGTCCTCTGCCTGTGATTTCTCTTTGAATTCCTTGACTTGTGTGACCTGCCTGGCTCCCCGCAAAAAATGGACCTCATGGACCTCGGGAGAGACTTTATGTGACAGTGGCATTTGGGCAACTGTTGCACTTCCTTTCTTAATGGAGGAAGTGTGCTGGTTTAGCTCTATATCATGCTATTATTGCCTGTGCCAAAGCATTTACCCTTAGAGAATGCTTCCATTTAAGTTCTAAACTTAAAACCCCTTACTAATTAAGTACCATTCTAATTGGAGGTAGAGTAGGTGCCTTAAAAGAACATAGGAATTGGGTTGCTGTTTTCCTGCTGATGGGACAGTATAAAGACTAAAATTTGGTTTTGGAGGATATTTTACTCCTAGTCGTTGAAGGCAGAATGCTTCTGTTCACAGAAGCAGCATAAAGCCTGGTTTCTAGTAGAGAAGCACAGAAAGGGAAGAGAATTGGGAAGGGTGTTTCGGCAAATAACTGATAATGTGCCTCATAGAGAGAATCCCTATTCCACTAGGTGGCAATGTTGGCCTTGACATGCCATGTGCTCTCCAGACCAAGGGCAGAGAGACTGACATGCCATGCGCTCTCCAGACCAAGGGTAGAGAGAGACACTCACTATGGGGGATGGGGAGACCTTCTGTTCCTAGAAAATCACAAAGCTGCCTTCCCTTGCACTATATCCCCAGTTACTATGACATTCCCTGATCTTGCCAAACAAGATTACTACTCTGAACTGTAAAACTTCCAACACACTGCATACACAGAGAGGAGAAGAGCTATGGCAGTCATAGGCAGGAAAGGAGGAAATTATGATAGAAAAGTTGGAGATCCTGTCGCCAATGCCCCATCGTTGGTTGGAGTCTGGTCTGAGTCCAGAAGCCTTTGGATAACACCGGGAAGTAACCCCAGCCAGAAATCCTCAGTTTCTCCAGAACCTCTTCCAGCCCCATGTGACAGCTAATTCCTCCAGGAAAGGAAACTGTTTCAAACATAGCCCACCTGCCCAGCAACCTGTGGGTACTGGGAGACTCTCCATGTTCTCTCTAGCAAGCCAGTCCCCCAACTCTTGTCAGACTGGCAGCCATGCTAATTGTTTTTAAATGGCTGAAGGGGGCCCAGTATTTGGTTGATTTGGTTCTAGAATGGAGGATGAGAGTCCTGAAATGAAAGGACAGAGTTGGAGTCCACTTCTCTACTCACTCTCTCAATGAATGTTGTACCTTGGTATCCTGGACGAGGTCCTCAATATGAAGTGGCTACATTGTCTGGGGGAGATACCCGGGGTTTGTCATCTTGCAGCAGAAAAACTTAGGACACAGACAACACGGGGAGTTCAGAAGTGGAGGTTTAATAGGCAGGAGAAAAAGAAAGAGAAAGGAAAACAGGTCTCTCCCTAGTGAAAGATAGGGGACTTCTGAGAGGAAAAGAGTGGCCAACAGCAGAAGCACCAAATTAAATAGTCTGGCTTGAGGAGGTGGTGTCTGATTTATGTAGGGCTCACAGATTGGTTCGACCAGGTATGATGTTTACATAGTGTCCAGGGAAGACTGGCCTCCCCACCCTAATGTTATTATGCAAATGAACTTTCCTTTTCAGCCAGCATCATCTTGTCTGCTATGTGGCTGACAAACAGAAGGGATGATGGAGCCACCATCTTGAATGTGTTTGGCACCACTGCTGGCATCTATGTGTGCAGCTCAATTTTACAGGCTGCTCTTTGTTAGAAAGGAAAATAATTTGTTGCTGCTTTTCATTAAAAGGAAAACCTTACCGAGGACTTCTGTATCCTCACTATCTGCTTCAATAATTTCTTCTTATCTCCTGTATCGGTAGGATTCTCCATGTGCTAAATCTTAACACAGAGTTTCAAGAGAGGAAAGAAAGGGGAATATTTATGTGGTTGAAGGTCTATCTTATCAGAGAAGAAAATCTTTTCTGAAATCTTCAACTGATTTCCATTTATATCTCCTTGACTAGAACTGGATCTGATGTTCATTCCTAAATCAATCACTGATCAAGGGGAATGAGTTTATCACTAAGGGCAGGGTACCTCTTCCTTGAACATAAGGCCATCTCATTCTTAACAATAAAATAAATAAAATCAGGGTTTAAATGGCAAGACAGAGTGGATACACTGAGCTGAAAAATACATGGTCCCTAACTCAAGAATCTCTTAAACTTAAGTAAATTGAGAACACTTCTCTGGAGATGTCTTGACAAAGAACACAAGAGAACATTAGCAGATTGGGGTGTGTTGTGAGATTAAAAACATATGAAAGAAATGACATCATAAAGATGATGGAGTAGAAAGTTCAAGGAATTTGCCCCTCTACTGAAGTCCTCTGTTCTCTACTGAAGCAGCTGTTGAGCTGGCAAACACTGTCCAAAGCAACCATTTTAGAACTCTGGATCCTAGTCAAACACTTGTAGCATCCAGGGTAAGTAAATGATGAAGAAAGAGGCTGGTCACTGGCTGACAATGCAGATGATGGAACAGAGACTTCAGTGGACACACATCAGAAGGAATATATTTCTTGTGAAAAAAGTTCAGAAAAGTCACTAAGCAAACTGATGACTGTAACCTTCATCAAGTAACAGTAGTGATCCTTGGGGAGGAGGCACAATCTGACTTTCAGTTACCTAATTACAGGATTCAAAATGTCCAGTTCCCAACAAAAAATTACAAAGCCTACAAAGAAGCTGGAAAGTTTAGCCCATTCACAAGAAAAAGAGAAATCCATAGAAACCGTACCTCAAATAGCTCATGCATTGGACTTAACTAGACAAAGACTTTAAATGAACTGTCTTATATATGCTCAAAGGTCTGAGAGAAATCATTGACAAAGAACTACAGAAATCAGGAAAACAGTGTATGAACTTATTAACTATTAGATGTATAAAGTTATGTTTTTCTCAGCTGGGGTTAGCTCAAGAAATTTCTTTGTAGGATATGTTTATACTCCTTAAGTGGTTCTTGAATTCTATTCAGGTCTAGATTTTTAAAAGAGATTTGGATTCTGGCATTTGTAAAGTAGACTTTCCTGTTGGGGTATAGCTGTCAAAGGCATCATAGATAGCATTGCTAATGAATATAGAATACTCAAGTAATAGTTTTTAAAAAAAGCTACTAGGGGGTATCATTTTGTTAACTTCAATACTTTACATTTTTGGAGAGGTGCTGTATGAATTACATTTCCCTTCTAGTATGGAGAAGTATCAAAAAATTTCCATTTTTTACCATGGAAAAGTTTCGTTAGGTAGTTTTCTCCTCACTGTCTATATTATTTTCAAAGGCCATACTCTTAACATACCATAAAATTTCTTTTTTGTGCGTTGCTTTTGCAGTGTTACTTGTGAGGTCAGAGAATACTCAAGGCACAAGCCCACATATCATACAGATTCTTCCTTGCCTCTTTTAAAAAATCAGCAAGAGACTGTTGTATTAGAATGACATTTTTACATAAGTATGAGATGTAATTTTTAGTTAAAACTGTAAATAGTTAAAAGTTTATGCATTGCCTTATGTGTGGGCTACCAACCAGCTTTTCTCTTTATTCCTTCCAGGTTGATGAGAAAGCTCTGAAGCACATAACAGAAATGGGCTTCAGTAAGGAAGCATCCAGGCAAGCTCTTATGGATAATGGCAACAACTTAGAAGCAGCATTGAACGTACTTCTTACAAGCAATAAACAGAAACCTGTTATGGGTCCTCCTCTGAGAGGTATAATTTATTAAACAGTGTGCCAGATAGTATTGTTTGCTTTTTAGATGAATATTTGTTATTGACAGAGGCTGTTAGTTGTGAGGGCTGTAATTTTTTTTAACGTTATGGTAAGTGGAAGGAACACTAGTTTGGGAACCACAGAGACATTTGTAGTCTCAGTCTCGTTGTCTTCATCTTTGTACAAAATGGGTCTAACAACAACAACAAAACAAAAACAAAGTGGGTCTAACAATGACTTGTTTAACAAGGTTGTTATGAATAACAGAGAAAATATGTGACTGGTTCTATTATTTCTAGAACTCTGCCACCTGAGTAAATGACTAAGCTTTTAAAAATTAACAAAAATATTACATTTACTTGGTGATATTCTTCTTCTTCTTCTTCTTCTTATTATTATTATTATTATTTGAGATGGAGTCTCGCTCTGTCACCCAGGCTGGAGTGCAGTGGCGTGATCTTGGCTCACTGCAAGCTCTGCCTCCTGGGTTCACGCCATTCTCCTGCCTCAGCCTCCCGAGTAGCTGGGACTACAGGCGCCCACCACCACACCTGGCTAATTTTTTTGTATTTTTAGTAGAGATGGGGTTTCACCATGTTCGCCAGGATGGTCTCCATCTCCTGACCTCGTGATCGGCCTATCTCAGCCTCCCAAAGTGCTGGGATTATAGGCGTGAGCCACCGCGCCCGGCCTTGGTATTATTCTTTAATCATTGCATGTTCAAGTTTATGATGTGGTTTTTCAAGTCCCAGTCCTATATTATTTTTAAAATGTCTGTGGTTGAAAAATAAATTATAATTTTTTCTTAGAAGATAGTTTATATAAACAAATTCAGACTATTTAGAGGATTAAATGTGCTACTTAATATAATTACTTAAAAAACTTTTAAAAATTACTGAAAAGATGTAGACTATACAAAAAATATGGAAAGAAATTAAAATCCCTACTTAAAATTTTTGGTTATATGTTAGTATATATTCTCTTTTTGTTTTTGCATATATAGTACATATTTCTTGCTTTTACATCTAAAGGTAGAGGAAAAGGCAGGGGACGAATAAGATCTGAAGATGAAGAGGACCTGGGAAATGCAAGGCCATCAGCACCAAGCACATTATTTGATTTCTTGGAATCTAAAATGGGAACTTTGAATGTGGAAGGTAAGCTAATTTAAAGTCGATTCTTTTTCTTTTTTTCTGTTTTTTTTTTGTTTTGTTTTTTTTGTTTTTTTGTTTTTTTTTAGTGTATTCTTTATAAGAGACCAAACTTTATTTGGAACTGTATAATAAAGCAACTATAATATGAACATATATCCTGATTGTTTATTTATAAATTTACTTAATTACAAATTCCTGTTTGACAAAAGCACAGAAGAAAATGTTGTTATATTCTGAAAACATAATGGCAACTTATTTTGCCCCCTAACTGGGATTAGTAATCTCACCAAACTATTTTTCCCTAATTTGCTCGTATCTAGATGACAGATATAACTATGTAAACAGATTGTTGTTTTGGAAAATTTATTATATAATCTTATATAACATTTTGATTGTGAAATTGGTATATCTCTTCTTTCACCCCATATTACATAGTTTGAAAACGTTCACACAGTGAGTGAAAATGCTTTCACAATGTGATATATTTTTTTATATACTTTAGTGATTGACATATTGAAAAGAGAACTAAGTATAGTAATATGCAGCCTTTTTCTAAGCACATAATATAGTAAATATTTTCTAAAATGATAAGTTTTCAAAATACGATCCAAAAAGTTAAGGAAATATGCTTTTAAATTCAGTTTCTCATTCAGATATATTTTGAATCTAGCCAAATAAGCTCATAGATAAAATGCTTTTGTAACAAATATGAAATGTTCAGGTTTCATAAAAATTGAAGTATGTTTGCTAGATTATATAGAAAAGGCAGTGTAGCATTTGAGAAAACAAAGTTTGATGTGGGCAAGATTTGTAAGCATGATGTATTAGTTTTCTGTTTCTGTGTAACAAATTACCACAAAGTTAGTGGCTTAAAACAATGCAACTTTATTACCTTATAGTTTCTTTGTGTCAGGAGTCTAGGCACAACTTCACTGGGGCCTCTGTTTAAAGTCTCAGATGCTGATGTTAAGATTTTGGTTGGAGCGGTGATCTTATCAGAGACTTGAGGTCCTCTTACAGGCTCACCAGTTCTTACAGAATTTCATTTCCTTGTGGATGCAGGACTGAGGTCCTGTTTTTTGCTTGGTGTTGCCTGGAGACTGCTTTGTCTCCTAAAAGCTGCCTTCAGATTGTTGCCACATGGGCCACCCCATAGGCAGTTTACATATTGTTTGCTTCTGCAAAGCCAGCAACAGAGTCTCTGCTGCTGCTTCAGATCTTTCTTTTTCCTGACTCTGACTTAATGAGTATTTTTGTCCCAACCTCTCTTCATATTGTCCCACTGAGAACTCTTTTGATTTCCTTTCATCCTCCTGTCCCCTTACATTTGCTTTTGACTCCTGTATTAGTTTGTTTTCAAGCTGCTGATAAAGACGTAACCAAGACTGGGTAATTTATATAGGAAAAAGGGTGTATTGGATTTACAATTCTACGTGGCTGGGGAAACCTCACAATCATTGTGGAAGGCAAGGAGGAGCAAGTCACATCTTACATAGATGGCAGCAGGCAAAGAGAGAGCTTGTTCAGAGAAACTCTACTTTATAAAGCCATCAGATCTCATGAGACTTATTCACTATCACGAAAACAGCACAGGAAAGACCTACCTCCATGATTTAATTGCCTCCCACTGGGTCCCTCCCACAACTTGTTGGAATTCAAGATGAGATTTGGGTGGGGACACAACCAAAACATATCATTCCACTCCTGGCCCCTCCCAAATATCATGTCCTCACATTTCAAAACCAATCATGCCTTCGCAACAGTCACCCAAAGTCTTAACTCATTTCAGCATTAACTTAAAAGTCCGCAGTCCAGTCTCATCTGAGACAAGGCAAATCTCTTCTGCCTAAGAGCCTGAAAAATCAAAAGCAAGTTAGTTACTTCCTAGATACAATGGGGGGTACAGGCATTGGGTAAATACAGCCATTCCAAATGGGAGAAATTGGCCAAAACAAAGGGGCTACAGGCCCCATGCAAGTCTGAAATCCAGCTGTTAGTCAAATCTTAAAGCTTCAAAATGATCTCCTTTGACTCCATGTCTCACATCTAGGTTACACTGATGAAAGAGGAGAGCTCCCATGGTCTTGGGCAGCTCCACCTCTGTGACTCTGCAGGGTACGGCCTCCCTCCCAGCTGTTTTAACAGGCTGGCAAGGAGTGTCTGTGGCTTTTCCAGGTGAATGGTGCAAGCTTTTGGTGGATCTACCATTCTAGGGTCTGGAAGATGGTAGCCTTCTTCTTACAACTCCACTAGGGGGTGCCCCAGTAGTGAACTCTGTGTGGGAACTCTGATTCCACATTTCCCTTCTGCACTGCCCTAGCAGAGGTTCTCTATGAAGGGCCTGCCCCTGCAGCAAACTTCTGCCTGGGCATTCAGGCGTTTTCATATATCCTCTGAAATCTGGTTGGAGGTTCCCAATCCCCAATTCTTAACTTCTGTGCACTCATAGGCTCAACATCATGTGGAAGCTGCCAAGACTTGAGGCATGCACCATCTGCAGCCACAGCCCAAGCTCTACGTTGGTCTGTTTCAGCAATGGCTAGAGTGGCTGGGATGCAGGGCACCAAGTCCCTAGGCTACACACATCATGGGACCCTGGGCCCAGCCCATGAAACCATTTTTTCCTCCGAAGCCTCCTGGCTTGTGATGGGAGGGGCTCCATGAAGACCTCTGACATGGAAGACATTTTCCCCATTATCTTAGGGATTAACGTTCAGCTCCTTGTTACTTATGCGTATTTCTGCAGCTGACGTGGATTTATCAGAAAATGGGATTTTCTTTTCTATCACATTGTCAGTCTGCAAATTTTCCAGACTTTTATGCCATATTTTCCCGTAACCTCATGATTTAGGAGACACTATAGAAGTTGATATGGTTTGGCTGTGTCCCCACCCAAATCTCATCTTGAATTCCTACATGTTGTGGGAGGGACCCAGTGGGAGGTTATTGAATCATGAGGGCAGGTCTTTCCCAAGATGTTCTTGTGATAGTGTAAGTCTCATGAGATCTGATGGCTTTATAAAGTGGAATTTCCCTGAACAAGCTCTCTCTTTGCCTGCTGCCATCCACATAAGATGTGACTTGCTTCTCCTTGCCTTCTGCCATGATTGTGGGCTTCCCCAGTCACATGGAACTGAAGTCCAATAAACCCTTTTTCCTGTATAAATTACCCAGTCTCAGGTATGTCTTTATCAGCAGCATGGAAATGAACTAATATAGTAAGTAGGTATCAGTAGAGTAGGGCACTGCAGAAAAGATAACCCAAAAATGTGGAAGTGACTTTGGAACTGGGTAACAGGCAGAGATTGGAATGGTTTGGAGGGCTTAGAAGAAGACAGGAAAATGGGGGAAAGTTTGGAACTCCCTAGAGATTTGTTGAATGGCTTTGAACAAAATGCTGATAACGATAGGGACAATGAAATCCAGGCTGAGGTGATCTCAGATGGAGATGAGGAATTTGTTGGGAACTGGAGCAAAGGTGACCCTTGTTATGTTTTAGCAAAGAGACCGGCAACATTTTGCCCCTGCCCTAGTGATTTGTGGAACTTTAAACTTGAGAGAGTTGATTTAGGATATCTGGCAGAAGAAATTTCTAAGCAGCAAAGCATTCAAGATGTGACCTAGTTGCTGTTAACAGCATTCAGTTTTAAAGGGAAAACACATCATAAAGGTTTGGAAAATTTATGTTTGGGTTCTCAGGGACACCTGCTCCTTGGATGAGCACCATGACCTTGACTCAAAGTCTTGCCTTCAAGGTTTAGTAACCTTGTTCGGGACCCATCACACTACATCCAGGAAGCAAAATTTTTAATCTCTCCTAGATGTACTATGTGGGGAGGTTACACTGACTGATTCAGGAAATGAGCAGAAGGCTTCTTAGGGGAGATGGCATCTAGCCAAGACTGAGGAGAAGTGTTGGGGCAGTCCAAGTAGAGGGAGCACTATGTATACAGGTGTGGAGGCATCAGAGCACCAGTTTCCTGAGCCTGGGAACATATGGTAGAGGCAGTGCTGTGAGGAGAGAATTGGAATTGGTAGGCTAGAGCCAGATTACAAGGATTTTGTCCTAAGGAGTTTTAATTCTGTCCAAATGTGATAAAAAGGCATTACAGGGTTTTTGGCATAAGAGCCATGAGGTTTATTTTGGTGCTTTAAGAAAAAATTTCTTGTCTGCAAAATGGAAAATAGGGTAAGATGGGATTGAGATTGAAAACAGGCAATAGTTGTATGTGTTGTGGGGAATTATTCATTCAATAAATGCTGTATTTTATTTAGTATTTAAAATACTTCATTCAGAAAACTCAGGGAAGTAGACTGATTTTGTAGCTCTTCTCCCAAAGATGCTCTAGTGTGTGAGACAGAAGAAAATCATAAACTAAAGGAGTATAGGAATGCTTACTTTCAAAGGATTTCATCATTTACTTAATGTAAAACAAAGCAATACTGAACAAAGTGTAAGTGCTTAGCAGAAGTTATTTTGAAAACAGTAATCAGATTTGATCTGGTATATTTGTAACCTGTAATAATATTTAGTCTTTTATTTCAAAGTTTTATTGCCAAAATAAGACCTACCAGTTGTTTTGAATGGCTAGTAAATAATCAGGCATACTTGAAAACACTGTTTGGTTTGCTATTTGATTATTTTAAAGGTTTACCTTACCGGGACCTGATTGTACCATTACTAGCAGCTTTTCTGACCCTAAACTCTCTTTGATGATGTTGGCATCACACAGAAGAGATTCATGATAACACACATAAGTACCAATAGCTAGACAATAAAGTGATACACACACACACACACACGCATATACATATATGGAAGATTATAGTGCTTGTAGCTCTTTCTTATATTCTCCTGGCTGTGTCTTCATAGGTATGATGAAGATAACAGGATTGATGGGAAAGCTGTGTGTTGGTTGCCCTCAGGTATCTTTAGCAGGGATCGTTGTGTTACTTTCTCTTGTTGACCTTCTCACACTACTAAGTGCCAGTATTCTTAGGTG